GCATGTGCGGGATGGGAGAGGAGAGGTTGCCGAGAATCGTATGGGAGGCAAAGTGAGCAAACAAAAAGAGGGGTAGAAAACCCACGGAATGGGTCAAGGTTGTAGAGGACGTATGGAAGGGGCTCGACATCGGCGAAGATGAAACGCTGGAAACGGAGGGTCTACAGGGGTTCAAGGAGAAGATATCTGTTGCTTGTGCCGAGAGAGAAGAACAGAATCTAAAAGAAGAATCCAAGGATAAGGAAGGTCTAGAAGTGTACGGAATGTTGTAGGAAGGAATGGGGTTCAAGGTACCTACATGGATGGACCAATGGATGCAGGAACAAAGCTTAAGGTCAAATTCAGGACCGGGGACATAGGCCTTGGAGAACGTCGACGAAGACATAGGACGGTAGACGACGAAGACGACGAAGACGACGAAGACGACGAGTTCAAATGTGATCGCGGCTTCGAATGCGAAGACCGTGTTCATGTAGTCGCGGAATGTCCGTTGTACAGGAAGGAGAGGGAAGTGTAAGTGACCGAGCTGGGAAAAATAGATGGGACGTACAGGGAGATGTTTGAGGCATGGAAGAGAGAGGAAAGGACGGTAGCTGTACTGGGACATAGGAGGTGGGTTGAAAAGGCGGGAAGGGATATCGTCAGGATAGACAGACTAGAGAAGACATTTTTGAGCCACCTTTGGCAAAGTAGAAAGGAACGATTGGCCATAGGTGATCGGTCCTGTGGGAACAACGCTCCGTCCTCTCGAGGACGCGTGGTCAATGGTCTAACCGCTAATGCATGCAAAACATAAGAGTCCCCCCCCCCCGTCGTCGTAGGTTATTCCCTCTCTCGATTGTCTCCCGCCTCTTGATCTCCGAAGACTGACAGGGCACCATCTTGCGAATTCGGCAGCAATTAAAGAATATACAAGACTCTTCACCCTCGAAACTCGTCTGTGTCTCGTTGGTCTTGACTGCTTTGGAGGCCTCACTGAAGTTCATCGCGGATACTTCTTTGCAGGTGAAAAACCCAGTAGGTATGGTGGCCTTGTTTGCGGAGGGGCGGTAAGGCACGGAGGCAGGGCGCCGGGAAAGTTACCCGTAACATATGTTGACGAAACGAAGTCGCACAAATCGACCGCTTTGGCCAAGGAGTTACATATCATGAATCTGGCCCGGGACGTGGAAAGGTAAAGGTAGCTGGAGCTGCTCAAGTGCGTGACATCCATGGGGGTGAGATGGAGCTAGCTGTCCATGTAGCGACGGCGTTTGTGGCATCGTCTTTCCAAGATGTTGCGGCATTGTGATGTATCGGGATTTGACAACGACTGCAAACCAGCATGACGCGATGCGCGAAAATCGTGAGCTAGCCCACGTCTACGAAAGCCGGAGGAGCCGTTCGAGCCACTGCTGCTGCTAATTCATCCTCGGAAAGCTCTGATCTCTTCAGGTCGATTGTAATATCCTCGTATCGTACAGGGACATGGATGCAATAGTGGCAATTTACTACTGTCTCAAGGCCGATTGTTCAAGCTCGGCGTGCTCGAAGGTGAAGGGTGTGCCATTGCAGCGCCGAGAGATTACCCCGGAATGGGGTTGTTTACTTGAGAGATTGCGCAATACCTCAGGGTAAGAAAAAAGTGCGAGTGACGGTAGTAGAGATGATGTCCACAAGATGAAGGCGTTGTCCGGAAGTGTGTGAGAATGACCTCATCCGGAAAAAACATGGACTTGGAAAGTTCGCCAACAAGTATATCAGAAGGGGGTGCACTTAACAGTGTACATTGTGTTCTGATCAACCTCGGCTCGAAATCACCACAAGGTTGAACTGTCCCATGTTTCTGCCACCAATGCGATCTGGTTTGCCCTGGTAGGTGCACCATGTCGGGATGATGCCACCGATCTGGAGCGTCTGAAAAGAGAAGGTCATGCCCCGGCAGGTGAATAACTTAACACCACAAGATGACCACTGCTGATGCGTTACGCCATGGTTCATTTTTCTTTGGGGGTACCGTCAGTTGGCCCCCCCAAAAAAACACAGATGCTTCGGAGATAGACACTAGAAGACATCGAATTGCGCTCTTCAAGTAATGGTACAGCTGCCCTTGATTTTTACCCTTACATGCAAAAGTTGTGCACGTCGCAGTGTAGCTGCCAGTCTACGCCTGACAAGCCATTTCGGTCATGTATGTGTTCAAAGAGAAAGAAGGGTGGCACTTCTGTCTCAATCGGATGTCTCCTACTCTCGTTGTACGTGGCAAGCCGATTCGATGACTCTCTAATACATACGTCAACCAATACTCGCTGGCGACATACATGCCTGTTCTCAAGTAGTTCACCAGAGGACAAAGGAATACCACAGGTCGGGGGGGGCAACGTGGTGTAGTCTCAAACCCAATCCCGGAACTGTTACACACACGTATCTACACAGCTATCGCGTGCATTTGCTAATATATTGCCACCATACTTTATGCTCTCTGAAAAACTTGGTAGTCCGTTCGTTTTGCGGCGCCTGGCACGGCTCAGGGCGAAATCCGAAAACATTGCTCTGGAAATTCGAGGCGATGGGTGGCTGGAGCGGGATGGCCTGCAGAAAAACATTTTCAACAAATATGGTGTTGAAAACTCTTTCTGCGAGGTACGGAGTGCCAGGTGTTTGAGTTCATTACTAGAAAATGTGGTTCGGGGATGTGGGGCTGGGAACGACGATCTTGGAGAGAGCGTGCACGACAGAGGTTTGCGCCGTAGTTGTTGTTAAGGTCACATGCGGAGCTACGGGAGGGTCGATGGCAATTTCGTCGATGTACGAGTTGCCCATGTTGTGCCGTACGCGGGTGTTGCAGAGTAGCAGCCCCACGCGTGGTTGTGCCGAGGACACGAGAAGTGATGATGCGGGGCTGAGGTGGGAGAGGGCTGTGGTCGAGGGAAGCAGTCTGCCATATGTTCGTTTGTTGTGTGTTACTCTGGGTTAGGTCGACGGCGGACTTGATACGAAAGAGGAGCGCTCCACCACTGACTAGGGCGCCTCCAACAGCGGTCTATCTACCAGAACAGCCCCGTGACGTACAAGTTGAGGGCTGCGGAAAAGACGAAAAATTTACTTCATGGTAAAGCAAATAGCTCCCATTGCCGCTCCACTCTGAACCTGATTCACCAACAAGAAATATGTCTACTAGAAGCTTGATATTTCTACCTCACTCAAGTGCGTGTGGCACCAAGTGGCACTCACCTTTCCGGAATCGCATGGTCAATACCACCGAATCGAGCACACACAAAACATCAAGTTCTTGGCTGCGTTCAGGGAAGGCTCACCCAGGTATCACCCAACCTTTGATCACAGGGGGTACGTTTCGACTCGACGCACCAACCCTGACAGCTTGAAAATGCCGCCTCTGTAAAAGCGGTGTGTCCATCAGCGTCAAGAGCACGAAACTACCAGGCCTTCCAGGACGTGGGCGCCGGGTCCCAGACCGTCGATTACGCCTGGCATTACCTAGTAACCTAACACCGCTTACTGACACGTGCGCACTATCCATCCCTGCCCTTAAAAATGGACCCAACGAAGTTCTTACTTACCAACCCACCGTTGGGAATATCTAGCGAGGACGTTGCCAGTCTATTGTAGGTCTGAGCAACCCGAATTTGATGAGAGTGACTCGTATCCCGTCCCGACCAGGAATGTACCTGCAGGAAAGTAGCAAATCGAGACAATCAAGCCCCATTTGTTAAGCTTTGGCGTGACGATGATTTTTATAGTAACGAAAACACACACTACACGAACGAACAGGACAAAGATTTTATCATGTAAGAAAAAAAATGTGAACGGACACAGGCCTCTTTACAAATACCATCGCTTTTACATGACCTACACGCGTTGCAATTCGATGCCTGTCATCGGTTTCTTTTTGCCCACCGTGGTGAGGCCAGAGTCTGCGACGCATTCCCTTTCATTCGCCTTCTGGCTCTCTGGATGCTTCACGAACTTGTGCAACGGACGCCTCTCTGAACGTCCCCCTACTAGTGCCCACCAACAACGAGCTTTCGTCGAAATATGGTGATTACTTGCGCATGATGCTGCACCCCGAATGGCCCCGCATCTAGCACAATGGTGCAGCGTTCGGATGTGAGTCCAACCTTGAACGTTTTTGTTCCTAACCCACACCATCCCCCCGCTCCCGTCGGATAAGCGCTTCATTTTTTTCCTTTCACGTAGCATCACCATCCCTGGCGTTTTTCGCCTTTCACGTTGTTTTTTGTCCATGAATGTCTTCAGCGCTGCATGCGAGGCCATTGTTTCCGTTTGCATGTTGGCACCGATGTCCTCCTCACCCGATACAACACGAAAGAGGGCGTCCTCGCCGAGAATACGGTCGACCAGCTCATCGACCAACTCATCTTGCATGTCCTTCAGGAAATCCGAGAGATCAACTCCCAGTCCTGAAGTCGGTTTGAGCACCACCTTTGCGGTCACCATGGCCACCTTGGAAGGGAGCATGCTCACAAACATCATACCTGATTGCGACAAAGTTGAATCGCCAGTCACGCCGGAATGCGTTGCCTTGTACAACCCGATATTGGTATTGAACGCCTGTAGCAAAGATATTGCACGTGGAAACTTCTCAATCGGCGACACTTCCACTAACGGGGGAGTAATCAGTACCGCCGAAAACGTTTGTCTAACCTGAAGCACATGCGACAGTTTCTCAACCCAGCCAAATGTCTTCCGCAACCGATACCCTTCCCCACCGTAGCCACACGGCACTATGGTCAGGTCCACCGGGCACAAGTGGCATTTTGTCCTTCCTGCACCCCCCGCAAAGCGTGCTCAGCAGATTCGCTTTCCCGCGAATCCTCGACGATGTGCCACACGACACGCGCACAACAAGGCGAGGGTACATGTAAGCCGGAGCCTGCAAGTTCTTGAGGCGCAGGAGACTTTCCTGGGTGCTATACAACAGCTTGTTCATCCTTCACAATGCGGCATCGGCCCTGCCCCAAATCTCTCCAACGTCATGGCCATGCTCTCAATCTAAACCAACACACTTGTCCTTGGCGCTCGTCTTTGACATGTACGGCAGCAGCATGGAACATATGCAATATCAGCGATTGCTGGAACCTTTTCTTGTGCATCCGTCTAGAAGGAAGAGAAACGCCATGATGGTCCAAATGTCGACCAGCTTGTGGTTGTTCTGTGGATGGATATGCAAAGGAAAATTCGGCCTCAACAGCACCCATTGTTAAACTAGGGGTGTTGCAGTGTACACGTTATTGCGATTGCTTCTATTGTCGTCCTTGCTCATGCCACCGAAAGTGCATTGTCGTGCACAGTGGTTACAGAGCCGTGCTTCTACAGGCAGAGCAAGGAGGGAGCAGTGAAGCAAGAACGAGGTCTAGAGTGTTGATTGGTTCCAAGCCTAGTGCTGCTGGATAAGCACGGCTGACCAGATTGGCAGGGATGAAGAGATGGTAAAGTCGTTTATTAGGTTGCCCTCGTAGACAAGCAACAGGAGAGAGTGAGCGCCGCGTGCGCCGCAAGGCATCAAGCAACAGCCGCAAGAAATTCACCGACGAAAAGACGCGCAGACTTTCTGCAACACGGAACAATTCCAACTACCAAAGACATGTCGGGAGATACCCCGAAGATCCACGCCCGTGGAACGGTCACTTGCACACGTTTCGCTCTCAAACCATACATGAGTACTACCGCAGTAGCGTTCGAAAGGATGACATAATCCACCTCACGGACAGTTGTCTCCTGTGCGTCGATGTTCTATACCGCTTTCTGTATTCCCTCAACAAGAAAGACTCAATGTAGCCAAGAACGCGTGCACTTGTCGCCGGAAAACATTAAATGAGGTGGGTGACAGGTGTGCCGGTTTCCATTTAACATGTTCGTGTGTCTGGATACGAGCATGGTAGATCTGCTTGCAGCACGGGGGGGGTACGTGTTCGTGGTAGCGGCAGGTGTATCGACTCAATGGCGGGGTATATCTGATTGGACGACTTGACTAGCGGGACTGTCGTTGGAAGGTTTCTCCGGTTCTGCATGTTCCGCTGTTGAACATTCGTATAAGTGTCTGTCGGGCAAATTTGTTGGTGGTTTGTGCTTTCCTCCGATGTATTTGTGGCTCGTAGGAAGAGTACAACTACCCGTGATCGGGGAATCGGGATAGTGTGATGTGATTCGTGATCGGGTTGTCGGGGTATTGCAATTGGGCAGATAGGGGTGCTGCACGCCCTCACCTTGCCCACTCCCATTCCAAACCAACTAATAAGACCAGGTCTCAACTATCCAATAACCTTCTCTCTACAAGCCACGAGTTTACCAACAGTACGTAGACAGGAGCATGCGTATGCTACTATGTGTGGGCCCCCTTCCCCGAATTCAGGAAGGCCACTTCTTCCCTTCCTTTCCTCGCTCCCGCGGGTCCCTAATCAGAGAGAGTTAAAGCGTGTCTTCTCCTCCCAAGTACGGACATACCAACACATTAGTGTTTATTCCCTCGAGGGAGTCCATTAGGGATGGCGGGCCGCAGAACCGGAGGGACCACTCCGGACGGCTCGCAGGCAGGAGACACAAATAGCAGCGAGCAGATCGACAGCATGCGGTCTGAGATCAGTTCGCTGACACAGCAAATGGGCCAGCTGGTGCAGCTGGTCGGAGGACTTGCTGCACGTATAGAGGAGAAGTCCGGCGGTGCCACGGAGGGCGCCGCTGAAAGCGGCGGCGCCGTGGAGAGGGTCGCCACAAGCACTGCAGGTCATTTTGGGACCGTACAGTAACACAGCGGCGAAGTAGGGGGTTCAGACCCCCAAGAGGTGAGAGTAGCCGCTGCTCACAATCAAGCTTGTTTCAGCAGCGCCATGGGAAGTGGTGCTGCTGTCTTCGGTAGTGCGAGCGTGGGATACCAAAGCGTGAAGTACACAGCGCCCACGTTCAGCGGAGACGCCAAGAGCTTTTCTTCGTAGCTAGAGGATTTTTTTATGGCAGCGAACACAGCAAACCTTCTTGAGCTTTTCGAGGAGGGGGGGGCGGAGATCCCCGTAAACAGTGGGCAGAGCAAAGTCCAACTGTCCAGGTTTTACTCGCACGACAAGTAAGCTCGCTTTCCACGCGTGGGATTTCCTCCGTGGAGCTCTCAAGGACGAGAAGACAGGACAATAATGAAGCGAGCTGAGTCGCCCCTGGGGGCGCTCCGTGAGCTGAAGGGGTTGT